ATCCCAAGGGCCACTCTCCGAGGGTTATACATGAATTAAATAGTGACGTCAATGGATTTGCTAGCTCAGTAGCTCCAAGCTTGAGCGCCATGGGAGGGATGCCGTCCCAGCCTGTACTCTTCCTTACATTGACGTTTTGCAGCTCCTTTTCAACTTCAAAACTCTGAAGATTCTGAAACTGGAAGCCTTGATATCCTGTCATCTTCTGCGTAATATTCTGGACACTAGGGTGGGTGGCGAGAACTTTGTCATCAACCGCACTGGTGTCTCCAATCCCATCAGCCACAGTAGCAAAATATTCACACAAGTCATTAAAAACCGCACATTGGCCTCGTTGAGCATTTCAGCATCCGAACACTTGTAGAATAGCAGAGCCGCCAATGTGCATCTATTGCATAGCCAGTTGTTCACCATTGATTTCAGGTACACACACTTTAAGTGAAAACATCCCATACAATTGGCACATGAAATGTTCTTTTGGTTCCACCTAATTGTTTTCTGACAGTGATCGCACTTTGCCGCTGTTGGTTTCGACCTGGATAATTTATTATTGGTGCTTGCCGCCTTTCCCTTGCTAGGCCCGGGATTTTTTTCCGCATCACCGCTTAACAAGAGCGCTTGAGTAGCCATAGAGTTACTGTAATAGGCAATGCGTGTTTTGGAATGTCGTAGCTTACGCCAGTTTGTGAATAGACCAGGATCTACTGTTCCATGCCAGGCGCGAAATAGAACAAAGGAGATGTTTTGATGGTTACGTTCCATCACCAAGAAATTCCACGCACTCTTGAATAAAGACCCATTGACTGCACGCGTTAATTCCAAGAGCTCTTCATTGCGCAGTACTCTTGGGACGACCTTCCACTCTCTTTAAGGAGTTCCCGTTTATACCGTTTATACTATAAATAGAAAGCTTACGCAACAGAATGTGATGGTCAACGGTGTCGAACGCCTTTTTAGGTCAATAAAAATGGGATAATCAAACAAACCATGGTCAATTTTTGACAATGGTTACTTCTAGCAAAGCTGTTACTGTATCTATGCAGAGATCGAAATCCCGACCGATGGTTGCTTAACAATAAACATTACAATTGCTTCTTTTTCACGTTACAAACCAGTTTCGTGCTGAATTTGGCAAATTGACTTTTTTGAAACAAATTGGTAACTTTCTTTTTAAAGTATTCATAGACTTGTTCGTAGATTATACTGTTCTAAATATCACATACACTGGCCTGTACTTGTTGACATTCGTTCTTTCCACTGACTTGGAAAGATTCCAACACATATTGACCCGTTAAATATGTGTGTCAAAGAAGGCGCAACAATATCGGCAGCTAATTTCGAAAGAGTGCAAGGTATACTATCTAATCCAGTTGCCTTTCTGCTGTCAACTGTCTTTAACAATCAACGCACCTTTCTTGACACTTGTATTTCGAAAAAAAAAGGTTGTATTGGGAAGTGCAAGTTCACAAAGTGGAATTTCCGATGCCAAATTTGGACTTATGTTTACCCTGTAAAATGCACATTAAAAAACATTCAGCAATTTCGGGCAGACAAACCAGAGTATAGAGAGGAGAAGTCGTTACGTCACGTTGCCATGGTAGCAAAATTTTTGGATGACAACAAACCAAAACGTCACTTAAAAAGTGGATTCACACTGTTTCAAACTTCATCGATCTTATTTAATTTCTTTGCTGTTCGCGTCGCCGTTGCAAAAACTCCCTATTGTTGTCATCCAGAAATTTTGCTACCATGGTAACGTGACGTCACACTTCTCCTCTCTATTATCTTTAATTTTCATTTCGTTCACTTTTCTTTCTGATTTAAAGTGAATTCATTTATCAATTTCCAAGTATTTTCAGTATCATTCTTTTAGCATGTAAATTAGTTTTACAATTCTTACTTTTTGAATTTTTCATCGCATTGTTCGACATGTTTCTTGCCTTTTTATATTCGTCCAGATAACGTGATTTTTGGTTAGCGTTGCTTTCTTGTTCAACAGGTCTCTATTTTTTACTTAACGTTATAAATGTGGAGTAATCTAAGTGGACTTTTTTCTGCTTACTATTTTCTTCTTTACAGCGGCAAGTTTTTTCACTCGTTCCACTTTTCGTCGACATTAGAGACCACACGAGTACCACTCCAAGAACCTATTTAGGTTAAAGTTCTTCATTTGTCTCTTTCGATAACTGAACTATCACCAGAACAAGTGACATTAATTTTTCTGGTCATGTATACTAAAAAGGGATCACCAAGACCTTGGTGACCCTCAGTTTTTCACACTGCGATAGATCTGTAATAATCACGCTGACTTAGACATCGAGGCAGCAAAACTGGAGACCCTTTTTGCAGCACGCGGGTATCCGAATGACCTCATTAGAAGGGGATGTCGACCAAACCAAGGGCACTTTTTTTGAAGAGTGACGCTGCAAACAACATCGCTAATGATAGAGACCCTTTTGTCGCCATTTTCCACCCCAGTAACCTTGTTGCCAGGAAAATC